TGAATGCTGTAATTTTGAACAAATAAGAGTAGTGAAAAAATAAATATAATTGATGTACTGCCAAAAAAGGAAGATGAATAGAGAATGCAAATCAAATGAACGAAGCTAGCACGTCAAATTGATATGAATGTAGATGTCGCATGAAGTTGGTAAAGCAACGTGAATAAAAAAACAAATCTCGTATTAAAAAAATGAACAGCTGGCATAAAAATGTATCTATAAACAAATAAAGTTATCTCTATCATCTACAGAAGGATAATTACTTACTTTTGACACAAAAGGTCTAGCAATATAAAATAAAAATATAAAATAACGAAATAATTTTGAATTTTATTTTATTAAGTGTTCAAAATAATCGTCATAATTATTTATACAACGTTCCATTCTTTCTAAAAATTTCTCAAATATTTTTCTAAACTCTTATTTTGGAATATTTTTATTCAACTATCTTGGAAACCGTACAAACCAATGAGTTTTAATTTGTTTGGTCAGTTAAATTGCACTTTATATAATCATTTAGCCAAAAATCACATGATGCGAGGTCTGGCGAAAACAGTGGATGTTGTATTATATTGTTACCTTTCTTGTGTTAAATAATTAAAAACATTTGGACGAGTATGAAGCCGAACATTATCATGAAATAATTAATATTTTCTTTTGTACCTGATGATTTTCTTTATTTTCACATTTCATTGACAACAGATTTGAGGCAATTTTCAATACAATAGTTGTGATCTATAGTTTTGCCTTGATCTATACTATGTATAAGAATAGGATCATTCGATTTAAAGAATATAGAAAACAAAGTTTTTGGTTCAAATCTATTTTAGTGCAATGTTTCATCCCCTCTCATGTCATTAAAATCGCATAAAGATCGGCAATTTTATCGTGACTTTCACATAATATTGCTGATGATCCGACTTAGTTATAGTATTTGCATCTATGACTATGACTAAGTCTCGACGTGTGTATCATCATCGTTTACCATCATGCTCATGCATGTTTCTCGTGAATGAGGAGAAATGAGATTCTTCCCATTCACTGTAAACAATACAAAAAAAAACCTTTTTGCAATACAATAATACTCACTGCTGATTGAGATGACTTGAAAAGAAGAAAAACATTTATTTTTAATATAAAAATACTATTGAAGTTTGTTGAAACATCATCGATTAGTCGACGTAAGTAAAGTTAGCGTCATATTCGACCCATTTCTAACCGAATTCGTTCGCTAACTTGTGTTGGCTTCCTATTTGATTGCTTTAGACGCACAATTTTATTCTTTATCGAATGGTAGAACGGTCAGGAAGGGTCATACAGCAAAAAAAAGCGACTTTGGCTACTTATACTGGTTCTTTAACCAAGTTTGGGCAGTATTACTTGTTCAGATTTGCATCCCAACTTGTGTTGGGTCTCTATTAAGTGGTGTTAGATGCAGAATTTCATTCTCTATCGAATGGTACATCATTGAGAAAGAGTGGCTGAACAAAAAGTGGCACATTGGCCTCAAATTTTGGGCGATGACCCATGTTCTGACGAGAAACCTTGTCAAAATTTGCCTGTCGGTTTTTGCTAACTCTCTGTTAGTTGTTTCGTTACGTTCAGAATTCAGTTTTCTATCGAACGATGTTAATTTTAACATTATTCATTGGACAGAAAATATGCTAATGATATATTGTTACGGTTCGAGTGAAAAGGAGGTTGGTGAGTTGTTATGCAATTTTTCGTGTTGGAGCATTTATTTTGAGTTATTGAATGTCAAAGTTCGATTACATGGTAAGTTATGACCACTTTTTAGATATGCTTTGGATTGGAAAGTTTGCTTTTTCATAAAATCCGGTTTGAATAATTCAGCTGGTTAATCTTACGGGTGTGGGTGTGTGATTGTGGATTGGAGAGTGCGGTGGATGGCAAAAACACAGTTTCTAGCACCTTCAGCTATATCTTTCATTGGTTGCAAATCTATCTTTGAAATTTTAAATGCAGATGTTCCTTGGTGGAGCGATTAGTCTAAACGAAATGAACAAACAAAACGAATATAAAGACTATTCAGACTAGTTCAAACGTAGTTGATGAATGTTTCTCGAAAAGGCGAGTAGCTCTGAGATATATGCAAGACGTATCAGACTAGACTCAACGGGTAGTGTGAACGCTTTAGACTAGCCCTGGATGATCTTTTCACTTATTTTTTGCTTGTCGGGGGCCAAATTTTAGCCCTTCGCACTCTTGAAAAACATCGAGAACAATGTATACAAACCAGAATCTTGAGACTCTTGCGCGGTCTCTGTGTGCAATATATTTAAAGAAGCATTGAAAAACTAATTTCAATTTTATGATGGAGTCTACTAATAATTTCATTTCTTATTTGAGTCATGTTATGGTGAATTAAATTTTTCCTAGAGCGCAACGTGATCGTCATTTATGAACAAAAATTATTTGATTTACCATATAATCACATGTAACAAGTTCGTCATTTTTCATGTTTTTAAATAAATTCTACATCAACTTAGACATGTAAACAAAAGATATAATCCGGTTAAATATATATTAATGTACATGCAGATCTACTGACTATTCTATTCTTTTAATTCAAATAACCGTTTTGGTCTATGTATCCGAAATCTGATTTGTTCATCCAAAGATTATTTATTTTCGATAATATTATTAACTATCTAGAGAAGTCGTCAATTTTCTTTGGATTTAGAAAAAATTAATCTGATCTGCTGCTTTATGTCCGATGTTTTATAATATTTTCAAACATTCACATTTATAAAAAAAAATAGTATTGTTGTATGAAGATGATAAATAGGCAGAACCTAGATCAATAAATGTGTAAAATATTTGGTTACTTAACTTAATCCGTGTTTATATTTATATTTATATATATATAGTCGTTTATTACATATTGGACAGATCAAAAGAAAGAGAGAATACTCAACAAATTCGTCTATAGTGATAGTCAAGTGACGACTGGTCGACTGAGAGAAAAATGCTTGAAAAACAATGCGTCCTGAACGTACAACATGTTTCTTTTTTGTTTTATCAATATAAATAGAATCAAACTTATTTTTCTTTCTATTTAATGAAGGAAGTTATGTATTATCCTAAACCATACAATACATCTTTCGAAAAGTGTCGAAATTTATTTTATATGAATATAAGATTAGACACACCTGCAGTTTTTTCTTTGAAAGAACACCATCGGAAAAGTAAATGAAAAAACCCAAATTGTTTATTTAATTAACTACTATGATACAAGAACATTGTTTCATTTTATCGCTAAATAAGCTTTGCAACATCCGAACATATATGCTGGTACATTTAGTATTTGATCAGTATCACTCGGAAATCCACTAGTCGTGAAGGAAGTGCAGTGTAACATAGACTTTAAAAAATTGCACATGCTTCAAATCTCCAATATTTCTCGATTCGCTTTTTAATGTTTTCGTCAACTCATTATGTTTCGAGTTTACAATCTTAACCAAATAGATATCGTAGATGTCAGTGTGACTGTGGGCAGTGGCACTCGGATTCGTGTATTTCCGGCGCGAGCTCTCCGGAAAGACGTCGTTTCTGACCGAAAAACTTCCAAAAATAGTAAGAACTTGAAAGTTGGAATCCTATGGTCGTATCAGATGGTCGGCTCTATCTGCTTTCGGTTGGTTCCGACTGCGACTCTGAGTAAATCCGATCACGAAATCCAATCACCCGATTTCTGCTTTCAAAGTCCTACTATTTTTCGGAGTTTTTCGGTCGCATCTCATTCATCTAGGAATGCGTGCCAATCAAAACCAGCAATGTTGACGTTATAATAATCTTTGAATACATTCTAGTATTTATTTATTGATAGCAATATGAACAAATAAACAATTAGTGGAACTAATAGGAGCTGCTTTTGATAACAAAAGTATCATTATATCTTAAAAATGTATTATAAATAAGCATATGTTTACATGATGATTATGAATTTGTTGTGGGTGTGAGTGTGAGGTATGGGTGCATTTGTTTTCTTCACCCAGACATACACCCAGACCCAAACTCAATTCCGTAGTCGTGCTATAAATATGATATGCCCATAAAGAGAAGAAGAAACAATTAATCAATATATTTTGTTTAGATTAAAAATACACACGTTTTTATTAGTTTATCTTCTTCATATTGATCGTTTGGAATCTATCATACTTTATCATGTTGTCGACGCTGTACTCAATTTTGACAATGTTGCTTATCGATATTTCAAAAACCAACTACTGCTTGACACATGAATTGTTCAACATATACGCATTTCATATCTAATAATAGTTGTATGGGCGAGGTATAGGGGAGTGTAATTGAAACTCAGTTCCTGACCATGTCTAGAAAGAGAACGAAGTGTGTTCAACAAGGACTCAAGTCTCCTTATTAAACGGAACTCAACCATTGGTAGCGAAAGGGGAGGAGATTGAGTTCTCGTCTGTTTACACTACTATTCAATTCATGCATACTCTGAGTAGAACGATTTTTGTTGATTAAATTGAACACAGTAACTGTTAACTGTCGCTGTGAAGAAGCGACGAAATAAGCTGCATGCGTTCGTATATATATATATATCAATGCATATAAAAACATTACGTGATATTTGTCTTTCATATCAGGCAAAAATCTTTTAAATGAAAAGAATATTGTCTGAACTTCAGGAATAAAAAGAATCTTGACTGGCCGACTAAGAAAAAAAATAATTTGGAAGGAATAGGTTTAACAACGTTCATTAGTATTGATGAATTCTATGAACGTGTCTCGCATGTAATTTATTTTGTTTCGATATTTTAAATTCAATAATGTCAAAAAATATAAAATGCATTATTGAATAAACCATTTTTTCTTTAGCCAAATATTACTCATGACAATCATAACGATTGAGTAACAATGGTGTCGAAATATATGCTGGAACTTTTAGACTTGCATCACAACTTCCACTCAATCTGTTAAAAAAATAAATAATATCACGAATGAAAAAAATGTTATATATATCCATACACAACAGTATCTTCAAGTGATTTAATACGAAGACGTGAAATAACAATTTCATCAGCTTTTGGACCACCCCATCCAAAAACTAAAATAACCATTAATAAATGTTTCTAATAGACTACACATCAACGATTACATACGAATTTTTACTTTCTGGAAATATACCACAGCATAATCGACTTTACCCAAATCAAGATGATAACTGAATACATGTCGAAGAATATCACCTGCTTTAATATCGGCATTCGATCTTTAAACAGAAAACAAAATTATCAATCAAATATTCCAATGCATTCTTTTTTCATACATACCTTTCAGTCATACTAACATTAGCTAATAATTCATAATTTGAATAAATTGCTACATAAATTTCACCCCCTGTTTTAGCCATATCTCGATCAAGTACAAGTTCAACAAAATAATGATAACCTAAAAATCAACAACTTAAAATGAAAAAGCAGAATTTGATGCTTAAGTATTCCAACCACAAAATGGTGAATTGCTTTTCGTTGTCATATACATTTTACCACGACCCAGTGAATATATAGAATAAAAACCTAGGAAACACGAACGATAAATTGCATACAAAAACTTAAATAAACGGTTTGTATTACCCATTTGAGCACAACCAGATATTGGACATACAAGACATTTACCATTCATAAAACTATCCTAGAAAGAAAAATAATGAAAAACACTATAAATTTTTCTATTTTATTTATACATAATCATGGCATGGAAAAGCTGTATATGGACATTCTGAACTAAAACAAATTAAAAAAAAAGTTATTAGAACAATCTTTGTGGGATTAAAATGTGAAAGACGATGTTACTGATCTTCCTAATCACAGGGAAATTATTTTATTGCATATATTTTGGAGCATATTTTCTCACTATCCTTTGACTTAATCCTAAAGAAATGCAATAAGGAAGTAGTTCATATACCATAACGAGACATTATTGATATACGATCTGTGATCTAATATCAACAATATCTGTCACGGTTTGTGAAAGGAAGTGCATATTTCTACTCCATATACTTCAAAACTCCTTTTAGATCGTGTTTCACACAATAACATACTTGATTGATTCAATAAAATATCCATGTGCACGACCTAATAATAAACATGAATAATATATTTTAGTGCGTATTAAATTTCATACTGACCATGTGAACATGATGCTTGCTCATAAGCAGCTATGATAGAAAAGAAAAAAATTCATATCTATTTTTAGAAATTTGTTTACCTTCACTTTGACCACCTAAGACACCACCAATGAGTGCACCACTAGAAAAAAAAACAAATCAAATCTCATACAAGAAAAAAAAAAGTAAAATAGTATTTACATTGACGGACAACCAGGTTGAGTTTGACCACCATTAGCATAAAAATCAATGTCACCTGATTCATCAGTTATTCCAAGACCAAGTCCGAGAGCGATTTCTGTATTTGAATGAATAATATCAACAAATTTAGCATCATCTTTATCCAGACGAACAACTATTTTTTTTCCTGAAAAGAATGGACCAGCCGGATCAAGACCTGATATACGACTTAGTTGATTATCAACTGCATTTGATGTATATCCGCATGTATGTGCTCCAAGACTATGTCCTGAAAGAAATCAATTGAACTTTTTTCAATGATAATTCACATAAACATACCAATGCAATGAATTTTATCGTATGAAATTCCTTTTAATTTGCGTATTTTTTGTAAAAACAAACCCACTTGTTTACCAACAAGGCGAGTATTAGCAACAGCATTTGAATAAAATGGAAATTTTGCACCACCACCCCAATCAATAACAAGTACATCAGATATTTCATCCTAGAAATTTCATTAATAACTGTTCGAAAAGAAAAAAAAAGCTTTTCTTTTTATATTCTTACATTTTTCAATTTAAGCAATTCATCTTTTAATTTTGGTATCCAAACACTATCACGATTATTTTGAAAACCATGTATAATAACTCTTAACCATCGAGAAGGATTCAAGTTGGATCTTATAATTGATTCATCATCTGTATCATAGAAAAGAAATTCCGGATTTGTTGGTTGTTCTTGTGTAAAAAGAAGAAAAGCAGTATTAATAAATTCTGGTGATTGCGGTACTTCTAAGGCGGCATGATTAAATGGTTCATTGTTATCAAAACAACCAACCAATGGATAACACACTGTCGTATTAGCAACTGGTGGTGTTGCTTGTCGTTGAAGAACTCCATTTTTTGATGAAATTACTGGGATATTAAGACCATTATTCGTTGATAAAACGTCAATGGTCAGCGGTTCATTGATCGCATGTTGTAATGGAATAAGTCGTGCATCAATGGAAAATATGAAAAGGGTAATGGATAAACAATAAAAGCCTGAAGAAAAGAAACAACAGGATTATTATTAATATAAAAAGTTTTAATTCAAAATCTTAAGTATTGTACAAAAAGTTGATATAATTAAATTTTTATATACAATAAACGAAACTATTGAAAACAAAATATTTATATTAATTAATAAAATGAAACGCTTAAGACATTCTCAAAAATCGATCTTGGGTCAAGTTCATTCAAATCGTATGAAATTTTCATGATACGTTGATGGTGTCATGAGGACACCACCCTAAAATTTTCAGATCTATATCATGACATTTTCGGGAGATATTTAGCAGTGTTTGACTGAGTTCTTTTTCTAAATCTTACTTTCTATACGAAGAAAAATGAATGACAAATTAAATAACTCGAGATAATCTAAAAGAGTGGTCATCCATTTATAGAAGTATATTTTTTTCAATAATAATAATAATAATAATAATAACCTAACTGAGAAAAACAGGTACTGCAGATTCACATGCTCTTTCAAACAAAAGAAAAAGCTATTGACTACAATACAGCTTCTTCGAGAACTCTAGGATGTGTCATGAGAAAAACATAAATAGAGAGAAAACGAAAAAGATTTTCCACTTTTTTCCGAAAAAGGGACGAGCTGAGTAAAAAAATCCTATTGTTTGTAAATGATTCGACTTCAAGCAAGCTATCCTTTCATGCTTATATATTAAGTTTCACTAATCTGACGGAAATAGACTTTTAGAGAGGGTTAGAGGCTTAAGAAATAAATTTCGGTCCAGACAATGAGTACGAATATGCTTACTTGATTGAAAACGCATCTTGAGGGCGAACAATCAAATGAAAAGTGTAACGATCGTATTATCGATCGATGGGTTTAAATCAGCTTAAGCAACAGAGAAAAATAATAATCAAAATAATAATGTCATCTGTTTTTTTTCTCATGCAATTTTTTGTAAAAAGAAAAATCTGTATTGGAAAAAAAGCAAACATTTATCCTACACAATCGGCATGAGATATATTAAAATATGAATATATAAAGCCTGATATATTCTAAAAATCAAAATATTTTGACGAATGTTTTCAATTAAAAACTGAATGCTTCAATCCAAATTATTCCTCATATGTCCATTTAATAGCAATATTCGACTGCAAACAATTACTTTCAAACAACAAAGAAATAATATATATATATCAAGAATTTTCCAACAGACTCTCAGATTTTCCTATTTATTATCAGCTTCGAGCGACCTCTTTTTTTTTTTTTATGCCCGACATTATCATATATCAGACAACTCCGTTCAGAAAAACAAAGTTTTAAGATCGATGAATATATGATTCCATCTTTTTCCTTTTTTTTTCTTGCATTTATTTAACTGCAGGTTATCCTATATATATATTTTTTACAATGTCATTTAATAGTGTTAATAAACCTCCAAAAGAAGGTGGAAACGTATGGAGTGCAGGCTCTCGTGGTAATACGTCAAATTTGTCATTGTCAAATTTGTATTCTAAATTCTCTTAGGGTCACGTGGAGGTTTTGATCGTTCAGATAATGATAATGATGGTGCCAGAGGAGGGTAAGTTTCATTGACTAAATCTTCAATGATAATGATAATCATGAAGAAGATGATTTTATCGGCATTTGTTTATGGTTTTTATATTAATTTCTTAATATATATATATATATATTCATGTACGATAATTAATATTGATTCATTTTCTATTTTATTATAGTGGATCATATCGAAATAATTATTCAAGTAAGATTTAAAGACATATTTGATGCACTTAACTAATATGAAAATTTGAAGAAAAAAAAAATTGTTTTTTCGTAAAAGAAAACATTGGATTTTGTTTAGTAAAAATCTATAAATTCAGGAAAAAAAAAAGAAAAATTTTCATGATTGTAATGTGTATATTACTTGTTAATTGATTGTTTTGATCGTATTTTAGGACGTGGTGGTGGTGGTTATGGATTTCGACGAGATAATAATAATGATGAAGAAGACGAAATAGAAATACTTAAAGATGCAATATTTATTCAAAATTTACCAAAAAATATTACTCGAGATGATATTCAAGAAGCTTTTTCAACTGTAGGACCAATAAAAGTAAGTAACATGATGACTTTTTTACTTTTATCTGATAGAAATATTTTAGACGGATGAACGTTCAGGTGGTCCTAAAATTTGGATTTATAAAGATCGTATGACTGGTGAAGGCAATGGTCGAGCTACAGTAACTTATGAAGATGAAGAAACTGCTGATAAAGCTATTTCAGAATATAATGGTAATAATGAATATTTTATATAATAATTCATTTTACGATTATTTAAATACAATTTAGATCAACATATAAGTTCGATAAATTCTGTTGTACGTGTTCAACTTGCACAACGTCGTATTCGCAATTATGATAATAATGATCGTGGTGGTTTTCATAATAATCGAGGTTTGTGTATTTTATGAAATATAATTATCAGAGTCTATTGAACTCAATAATGATAGATCACGATTGAAAAGAAAGAATGAAGATTAAAGACAGTTTTCATTCACTCGTTACTCGCTTGCAACATTACTTGAGAGATATATACGTAATATTTTTCTTTTAATTTGAAGGTTTTCGTGGTGGTCGAAGTAATTGGAATAATAATCAATCTCGTCCAGGTTTTAATTCAGCTGGTAATAGCCGTTGGATTAACAACAGAGGTGGTTTTCGTGGTAAGTTTGCTTATAAAAAACAATATATATACATAATAATTGAAAAAATTATTTTTAGGCAGAGGAGGTGGCGATCGTGGTGGTAGTTCATATTATGGAAATCGAGGAAATTCGTATCGTGGTTCAAACCGTGGTACTGACAACTCATCAAATTATTGATCATTAAGAAAAGGTTTCAAGAACGAAATATAAACCAATTTTTTTTCTCATTGTATGTGTATGCGCTGATGCGCAGTTTTCTTTTGCTTGGCATATCCTATTCATACTCACTATTGTTTTATGTTTTATTCAAAACTCTGACATATATTTGAAAGATAGAAGAATATGAGCTCAACGATAATAATAATCTTTGTGTATCATGTTTAACTTAATCGATAGTATCAGAAGAAAGAAGTGCAATTAAACAACAAGCTATAATCATTGATATACGATTTTGAGATGTTCATTCATTTTAACCAATTTTAAAAAAGTTGATATAGAAATTAAGTTTAACTTTTAAAGTTTTTATACAAATGCAATGGATTTCTTTCAATTATTCGAATAAGTTGATTCTCATTGAAGACAAAGTTTGTTGATTCCAAAATAATTGAATAAGTTCATAACAAAAAAACAATACGTATCTGGATCGAAAATGATTAGTCTTGTATAAAACATCGGATTTATGGCTACTGATTCCGTTCATTAAGATGTTTGTCGATGAAACATCGATAAATATTATGTACTAGATCATTTGCTAAAAATCAAAGTGAATATAGCAAAAGTTCCTTAATATAGAAGCATACTCATATAGGTGCTTATTTCATTTATTCATATATGTAACTGGTTTGTAAAAATGAGAAAAAAAAAACAAGCAAAGAAATCTCATAATATTTCAATCACTTGTGACACGTTACTGTTCAACTACAGTTATGAATGCACTCAAATTTAAGGGTGGGTACGATTATTTATTTCATGCAAAACCTTTCATTCATATTCTGCTTCTCGAGAAAGTCATCTTAGTTATTAATCAACCGACTTAGTAAAGAACTAATTATTTAAGATATTTTATGCCGAACTGATCGTATTCAATTTTGATCCTAGAATTGGCAAACTTCATCTTCGGGTATAGGTCTCCTACCCTGTATGTGAAAATGTCAAACGTGGAAATATCAATCAACCAAAATTAGAAAAAAAAAACTACATTGGATCACACACATATTAACAATATCTATGTCTATCGGGAAACGCATCTGTACTCGTCAGTATCTGTTCTTTGAAACTTTGTCTGTAGTCCTCTGAGGCTTGTCCTTTGCATGAAAATCAGCTTTTGATAACATGTATGTGATCCGATGGGGTTTTTCATGCTGACTTCGAATAATTTACTATTTATTTCATTTTCGATTGAACGATGATAATAACAAATACAAAGTCATTTTTTTTACCTGTCTGCCATTGACATGAGAACATGTTGAATTTTCTTGTCAAGAATACGAATTTAAACGAAATCTATATAAATACTTTGATAGCTGCAGATGTGATGATCGGTTTACAAACATAATAACAATTTTTGCATGTCATTAATGTATATCAATACAAGTAACACTCGTCGTTAAGACTCGCTTGACCTTCGACTGATTATTCAACATGTTCTACATAACTTACTGCTTTACCAGTTCAATCTATACTAATATCAAATGTATACATGCAGCTAGATGTTTGGGTCTGAGTTTCGTTGTTGATATGCATATCGATATCGATGTGCGCGCTCTTGTAGTACTTCTCTTCATCTATTGAACCACTAATACTTAAACTTGCATACTCACACCCTCATCCACACACAACGCCCTCAACTATCCAAAGAAAACATGAATATCGACACGAACAGCGATGCATAGTCACGATCACATCAAAAGAATCAGAAAATATTGTTAGTTAAATACCTTCACTTTGAAAACCCACAGCGCTGAAATGCGTAGACTTTCTATAAATAAGATATATATGCCATTTTTAGATTCGGATTATTTTGTAATATAGGTAGCCAATTATAGGAGATTTTATGACTTTTTTAGAAGATCATGAATAGATATGGCTGTTCGCGTATTGAAAAAAATGTCTAAATTGGCATATATTCCTGTATGAAATAGTCGTTTGAATATAAATTCGACTCTTATTTAATGGCTGTGATTTTTTTATAACTGTTCCTACTGTCTTTCGGTAGTTGTTGGTGATCAAGTGGTTTATAAGAGAGTCTGTATATTTTGGTTTATGGTACACATATAGATACCTTTTGTTTCAATGAAAGATTAACTTTAACCATCGATTTACTAGTTTGGACAAAGTAATGCTAAGAAATAATAAATTGTGAAAGCATGATGATGAGAACTACAGATTACTGTGCGTTTCATTAAGTTTTATTTGTCGCATAGTAAAACATAGATATTTGTTACCTTGGAATTTATTTTTCGTTCTTCTCGGTCAAACCTTGACTCAAATATGACGGAATATTTAGTCACATACGGTTTTTTTACATTTACCTATTGTTGCAAATGTAGGTTATTATCTGGTGTCCAATTAGATCAAAATAATCGAATCATATCCAAAGCAAGCAATGATGGACAACACCCCTTCTAAAATTTTATCATTATGTTTCGTCGGGCAACTACGTAAATACCATTTACGCATTCATTATCAACTCTGTCACTATCTCCTATAATAAAAGTGTTCGAAATTTATGGTTAGGTGCCGCGTGATGATATTTAACCAATAGTTTTGATAAAGTTCATTTAATATCATCGAGTAGTTTACGGAAGAATGGCTCTACGAAATTTCTCATCGACATCATATTTTGTCTTAGCTGCATGTCATTTACGACTCTTTTTATATTATAGTTAACATCTTAGCAATCTTCTTATGTTAGTTCATATGGCAATCAATAACTTTCTCTGGTTACTAAATAATGAAAAGTTGTAACCAGTAAAGGTGAACGGCCAGCCCGATAGAGATCTAGATTTTGTTTTAATTATTGCGTATTTTTTTTCGAATACCAAAATCTTGTTACGAATGTTGAAGATTATATTGGTGAGAAAATATGCATCGGACTATTCTATTAAGTCAAAATCATCATAGTATCTTTATTATATTTTCTCAGCTCACTTTGTCATGATGTCAAGTAGTAAAAAAATATCGAATCATTGTTTAGCATCGTAGTCTTTCATATATTTTTTTGTAGCTCCTACTATTTATAGTATGTATTTCTCACTGACATAAATGATAACAAAGCGAATATAGAATGGAAGATAGATTGAGTATAGAGTTAATAAATAGTGTCAATGTCTGAAGACTAGTTAATCAAACCACAAAATTAATATAGAATTTGCAGTCTTATGCAGTTATCTGTTCACCAATCGATGCTAAGAAAGAGAAAAAAGATGAAAATAAATAGTGAAAAGTATTATAGTCAAAGAATAGTGCTATTTTACTATTACTGTAGTGATCAAGAAGAAAGTGTGACTAATCTAGGAGTTGATTTACCTCTTGCCGAGTAAAAAAAAACAATGAGTCATACCGCTATACTAATCAGTGCAATAAAGTCTGACCGATATCGGTACGCGTATGGAAAAAGCACTACCGGTTCCAACTTTGCATAACTCGATAAAGTGCGATTCTTAAAAACATCGCATGGCCAAGTACTATCGTCGTTAATATTGGATTGGGTTTTTGGATGAATGAAAAGAATATATGAGTTTTCAAATACTATTGATGTATTGTGCTTTCGTTAAATGGTAGAGATCAATGTCCTTCCAATCGTTGATCAGTGCTACAATTGCATAAGAGACACTGATTAGCCGTTACAAAACTCGTCAGCAAAAGCGAAACGAGACAGAAGCGTGCGACGAACTTACACGTGAGCAATGTTGCACAGTGGACAGAAAAAGAGGGTTAAGGGTGAGTCTTTTAACGAATGCAGCTATTAACTTAATATTTTCTGCATATATTGCTGGCGCTTTATACTGATTATTTGTGCTTATCCAATCTCTCTTACTTGAAAGACTCCTGAATAGGGTGCGGATGTCTGGCTCTGAGTTTTCTTTTCATTGGCGCGCATCGCCCACGCACACCCACGAACCACCTACCCACACACCCCCCCCTCGTCTTCACCCCCCCCCCCCCCCGCCCACCGCGCCCCATGGAGCTTCAAATTAGGCAAAATCAATCAATTCTACTTGTCAGAGATCACATTTAATATAATGAAATTTTATACTTACTAGAGTGCTAAGATCATGTTTGATCACTGATCATCTCACTTTTGGCTGTCAGTTTTTACTTAATAGACTAAAAACTATCCAACGATGTCTTACTCTGTATATTTCAATATTATTATCATTGCACAGATGCATTCATTCACATATGCCAATAATTCTGAGAGAAAACTGCTTTATATAACTGGAGTTTAAGTCTTGCTGGCTCTTATAGTCTGAGTATGTGGCTACCGATCTGCTTGTTGTTTCATTTGCTTTATTTGGAGAATATTCAGCGTAGAATTAATGAAAATGATAAACAATGAAGAAAAGTTCTAAGCATGATATTCGTCTACAATGGTTACACGAGATAAATGAGCTCTCATTACAATTACTTTCTGAGCAATTGTCCGATACGAAAGAAAAACAGACTTCTATCACGCAGAAAAATCTTGCATATTGCTCTAAAATATAGCCACAACTTGACAATTTAAATAAAATCAGCGCTCAAAATTTGTGACTGGAGAGAAGCAGAACCAGCAAGATTTAAACTCCAGGTATCTAAAATAGATGTTGTCTCAGAAATTATTGACATTTTTCATAGCGTCACATGTGAATAATACATCTGTGCAATGATAGCAACATTGAAATACACCGAGTAAGATATCATTAGGCAGTTTTAAGTCGATTAATTAAGAATCTACAGCCAAAAGTGAGATCATCAATGATCAAACATGATTTTTCGCATTTTAATACGTGTAAAATTTCAGTTTCTTAAATGCAATCTTTGGCAGTTAGAATTGATTGATTTTGTCTAATTTAAAGCTCCATGGGGAAGAACAGTTTATGTCACTAGAATCAGCTTGCCAAACTTAACAAACTGATATACGGTCGATTCAAGACAGTGCATCACACTTGGATACCTTCCCCCGTAAATGAAAACTTATTTCATTTAACGAACCAACTTAATTAATTCTTTAATGAATCCAGTATGTAGCGAACAAATTGGGAATGATCTTGAGGCTTCTATTTCAAAAAGATTCTCTAATACAGTCCATAATAGCCAAAATCGATTCTGCCATGAATTTTTCATTTTCAGTTTCCTCCAAGGCCAAACTTTGAGCCCTTTAACAGAATCTACTCTTGAGATTTGTTTGTGCACACAATGACGAAAAAGGACAACTTTCTTAAATACTGGAAAGTATTGATCAAGTTTCCAACAGTTCATTCAGCTCAACTCATGTTTTTATAAAAAGTACTTGAACATGAAGTATGTTGACATTAAAAATTTTGAGTGCAACAAATATATTCTTGATATGATATGACTGTCATAAAACTCATACAAAAAGGAATGTATTGTTTTAAATGATAGTGCTCTCAGAAAAATTCAAACCTCTCGAGAATGAAATAATATTTTTTTAACAGTTTTCGTAGAGGTTCATCAAACATATTCCTTCATAGATATGTATATAAAACTAGCGAAACTGGCAATAATCGACAGAGCAGCTTTTTTGAAAATGAATCGTAATTTTACCCAAACTGGTTTATGACAAACCCACAAAGCTGAAGATCTGAAAACTGCTTTTAATAAATGGAAAATGGAGCATTCGTACTTAATTCCAAAGCGAAAATTCATGTATCGCTCATAAGAGACATAAATCCTGATCGTAAGACAACGGATATATCTAGTACCTATGAAATTGTTGGATAAAAGAAAAATATACAATGCATGAGTACTGGAATGATTGTTCTCATTTTTTACTTTATATTGTCTGTCGTGTAAATTAAATATCTGAACGAAGGAAAGAAGTTAGAAGCTGAAATGCTTGGTATTTTCACATCTCACTAGGAGCTACCTACAGGCGAAGTTTCAGTAAAATCAGTTATATGAATTGAGGATAGTATGTCATTCTCATCGTGCAATAACTCCTAATAAACACATATCTCATATCCTTTGAAATTTCAAGATTAAATATTATTCGTTAACTGTTAATGTGTAAATCTTTATTAAATCTGTAATCTTGAAAATATCAGTACTTCATACAAATTATTGAAAATAAAATGTAAAAATAAATAAAAAGAAAGATATACAAAATTAAATATGAAATTCGAACATGAATACACATCGATAACTTATCTAGAAACTCAACTAATGTTCAAGATTGGCTACAAAAGTCAAATATTAAAAAGAATGTTATTCATTTTTTCAGACTATGACAAGGATTACTAAGACGATATTGTAATAATTCAACACCATTTACATACCACCAAATAAACGCACCTAGGGATGAAATATGCCAAATTTGATGACTTGCAAATATAAAATCAAAATAGCCTAAATAAATCGAACAAAAGAAATTTCATTACAAATTTCTTTAATATTAAATACCGGGAAAAAATCTTTCAGGAAATTTTGTTAAATAAGAAATTGTTCCGAAACCTAATATTCCATAGAGTACAAATAATTTTGGAAAAAAATGTTGAACAAATTGATTTGACCAGCCACCATGAAGATAATACCAATGTAAGCCAGGCAAAAATCCAAGAAGAGATATTGCCACAAATAAAGTTATATGAATATTTCGTGTTACATACCGTTTTACAGCATGTACATAATATATAACAGCAATAAACATAATGCAAATAATCATTGTTTCATATCGTATTCTCCAATCATGATAACATTCAAATGAAATATGAAGACCACATAAATAACAACCAAGAATACCAAGTCCAATACCACACAAATCTAATTTAAGAAAATCTGCAAATACTCGTGATGATATACAACCAAAGAGATGAAATAAAACAGAACATAACATGCATGTCTATCATCATAGAATATAATTATTTTAAGGTAAGAAGAACAAAATAAAAATAAAAAAACTTACAATAACAGAAAAAGTATAAAATAACATAAAATAATAATCCGATGTTGACTGTAGAAATGGTAATGCATTTCCAATATAAATATCACGAAAGAAAAAGTATAGAAAAACTCCACTACCAATTAAATGTGACCAAATATTTACTGATTCATTATTTAGATAAAGTAAACTGAATAAAAAGTTTAAAAAATGAATTTGAAAATTAAAGTTAAAATATACTTACCTAATTAAACAATCCTTAAAATTTAAACCATATCGATAACCAGTACGTATATATGGATTTGATTGAAGATAGTCTGGCATCATATCAAATGAATATAATTGAAGTTGGTTCGATTTAATTTTATGCTGACATGTTTTATCAGATTTTTTATGTATTCGATTTCGAAGCATATCATTGAGAATTTAATCTACAATAAATATGATGATTGCTCATTTATTGTTACAATTAATGAAGCAATATTTTTTTAGAATCAATATAAAGAATTAGATCTATTGGTTATAGATGCAACGTTCTAGATATGCACCTATAGAATAACAATGAAGACAGTAAACTCATGATAAAACCGCGGTGATCTTGAATTCATTTCGACTTTTCCGGTCTAGAAAAGTTTATTTCAAGAGAATAGCTAAATTTTATACAATATGACTAAACCGTGAGAGTAGTCATCTACATCGAGGTCACGACCATAACTAAGAAAAAAAGAAAAATGTGTCATAACAGCTTTTCCCGACGAGACTAGAAGAATAACTCTGATTGAATCTGTTGTTTAAAATTTTCTTCTCTTCAAAATGCTATTTAAAATGTGGAAATTATTGTATCTTCAAGTTTCGAATGACATTTTGAAGAGAAGAAAATTCTGAACAATGGGTTAAACTCCACTTATTTTTCTAGTCTCATTAGACAAGAATGGTGTGAAAAACTCTCCATGTTTTTTTCGTCTTGGCTACGATCACGATGCAGACCTCTACGTGAGAATTGAGCCTTCTTTAACCGAGAAAATCGAACTTGAAAATTTCAACAAAACTCCTGTAAAATCGGATTACTGAACTACGAAAATTTCCAGACTATTTTTATAACACTCAGATATTTTCTTGATATGATATTGTTGATCGGAAAAATCGCAATCAATTCAAGACCAACATAGTTTTATCATGTGTTCACTGTCCTTGTCGTTAATCTTTACGCACATGTTTAGACCAGTACGTCAGTGAAGTGGAGCACCGGAGACATGGTGCACCGTCATCGCTGTATCTCTACGATTAATGTATCCAGAGAAAAAACTTCAAAATGGGGGGAGCTTAGCTCATCCGAAGTCCATTTCGAGACAGCGCTGATATCTGTATTTATTCGAAGATTGAATCACCCTTTGATGAGGTCATTAACTATGCTTGTCGAGTTCAGAATCTGTTATCCAGTACCACTTTTAATTTCATCTTGAAACATGATTTAAAGACTTGTGCTTTGAACAAATGTATAAATTCTGCGTTAACTTCGAAAATGTGAGTTAGCATTGATTCTTAGAACTTTCAAAAGGAAAATAAGTCTGAGAATAAAACATACATTATTTGATTGAAAAACATTATTCATTAGTAGATTAGATCGAACCTTTTCTCATTAGAAAAATCATGTAGCAAGATCAACATAATTTCCCTTGAGTGCCAACTGAGAAATAATTTAATTTTTCAAGTAACTCAACATAGACACCTCTCACATTGATTAAACTTGAAGTTCTTTTGGATGCAAGCTGCCATTTTGAATAATTAGAATGAAGCGAGATCAGATGTTTTTTTTCTTTTATATTTTATTTTATCAATAATAACGATAATAAAGTAACAATTCATAATATTTCAATTTCTTGTAATAACATATTTGGAATACCTTTTAAAATTGGAAATTTGCGACCAGTTTCAGGACAAATAAGTTCACCTTCTTCAACTTCATATTCAAGCAAAATTCTATGCATTTTTCTAAGAAATTCATCATCATGTTGAATTGTTTCTGGCATTGTCTCTGGTAATAATTCATTCAAATCAAGCTAAAGAAAATAAAAAAGCATTATTATAAATTCTATTCTCAATTAAAACTTACATCTGTCACAGCTCTTCGTAAAGCATCATATTCAATACGTCGAAGAATACGAGTAATAAAATCTCGATTATAATCCACTGATACATTTTCAATTTTAATAGCATTAATTTTTAATGGAAAACCTTTCGTTATACCTTTGAGTATATTCGATGTAAGAATATTATGTGTGATTAACTTCATTCTTTTTTATTTTATCTAAAAAGAATTTTTTTGAAATGAACAATTCGCTTATAATAGAAAAAAAGGATTTATTCTGTCATTTTTATTAATTAACAATTACCATTCCCAACGAATTTTGTTATTGATTTAATTTCTAACATAAATCACATTAATGAAAGCTAAACTCAATATAGAGCAAGGCCCTAGAGATTTTAGTCGTCAAGATTAATCAGATTACGTCAACAAAGAAACGCGCATGACATTTTAATCATACTATCAAGTTTATCTAGAGAGGAAACGTATTCAACTGGTTAATTGCTTTTGATTTTGGACTCAGTGCATAAGATAAACTACAATGAAATATGAAAAACCTTCAAAACATAAGTTCCCTGAGGTCTCTCTTGCAGAGTTAATGAAATATTAGTTTCTGACATGTTATATATTAATAGATCGAATGACATTATTTCGACTTGATATTTTGCTCACAAACAGGTCTTTTTGTTGGTAGAATGTCCCGAAAGTTTCAGCTCAAGAGAATATTTTCCTTTTGAAATATTAAAGTCCCAAAAAAAAACAGAAAAGTGTAGCACTTTTCGTGAAATATGAGTGATTTTTGGGACTCTAATATCTCGTGAATGAAAAATTCTTTTGAGATTTTCCATCTCTTGCTCGAGTCTACTTTATGTACTGAGTCCAAATTCAAAGATGATTGATCAATTGAAAACATTTCCTCATCAGTTTGACAACGTATGAATCGAATACCATATCTAAAGCTACTCAAACTTATTTCGGACACCAGTAAATATTTGCCATAAAACATATATTTCTAGAAAAAAAAATCTTAAGAACGAACATTTTCAACTGATCAATTACTTTCTCGCTATAAGCTAATTGATTGCAAGGTATCAATCATTGCTTACGTTAAATAAGACTATAAGCATCCTCCTAGGTCTTTATATGCTGGTTTTCTAGACTGATACATTTTACGTCAGAAGTTTTCATCTGTCTAGATATATAGAGCCTATCGAATCGTCTAGAAAGCAGTAACTTTTTCTGTTTGGATTGTTTTCTTTTGCAGAAAATACAGTCATTTCATACTGAAAATTTTCAATATGATATTATTTTGTCTAAAACTCATCCTTTGTAAAACGGAAAATATGATTGTTTTATAGATAACTTCATAAGCTCTATAATCTGAGTAGACCAAGATCTATTCTGGCAAAGTGTTGACTAGCCTAAAAAACCGCATTTCTAGGAGAAACAGCATGGTCAATAATTTGGTAGTTTTTTTGCGAAAACACTCGATCACTTGAAAACGTTCCGTCGTATATTCATTAATTTTTATTTAAAAAGAAAACCTCCACAAAAAACTGAAGAACTGATTTTTATAAGTAAATAATTAATAAGAAGAAACGTTTGAAGATGAATATTCGATTGTGACAATACTCATTCCGAAAAAGAAAATAAATGAAAACTTAAATGTGCAAATGAATAGTTCACTTCAATTATTTACTTACTTCGGAATGAGTTTACAACATAATATAGAAAAAAGAAAGCGAACACAACTCCACCAATAACATAACACATACATCGTCGATCACCTTTTCCACTTGACATAACATTACCTAAATGACGAGAACTTCCACCAAGAAAGCTCCGTGCTGTATCAAAATCGAAACGCTATAATAATAATAGTAAAATTGTATTTTGTTTTTAAATTAGTGAAGTCTTACCATTGATTCAAGAAAACGATTGTGTTCTTTGGTTTCATTATCAATATCAATTGCAATCTTAGAGGAGATAAAAACAAAAAATAATATTTTATATAAACAAAATTTAATTAAATATTAACTGACATTTTTCAATCGAGAAACTTTAGCAGATAATTGTTCTGTATGTAAATCGTTTTTATTTTCCAAAATGTTCATTAATTAAATTAAGTAAACAAATCTACAATATATATAGATTTTATAAAAATCTGTTTCATATCGTCAATGAGCTATCTTGTAAAATGATACTTGTTCTGTATTCTTTAAAAAGCAAATATAACAATAGCAAAAGTAAATATTTGAATTCTATCGAAAAATATAACTTCGTATGACAATCTTATATAGAATTTTTTACAGTTAAGTTAACTACAATTGCATTAATAGTAGAGATTTTAAAACCATTAAGTGCATGTATAAAATTATACAACTAAAATTAATTAATAAGGGTGATTAAATTGAATACCTTTTGTTAAAACAGCATTTGTATCATTCTCAAAATTAATAAAAGCAATACCTTCTCGTCCAAGAATAATTCAAACATCATGATGATCAAATAATTGACGACAAAGTAAGTTCTTGTATTTTTTTCAACTAGTAATAAAAAATATTATCACTGAAATAGTAGTACCAACTAATGTTGTTTGTGCACCAATCACATAATGGTAATTCTTTTGTAATTCAGCTTCAGTTTCGACAACAACATTTGCAGTACGATTTAATTATTCAGAGCTCATTAATGCTACAATGAAAGCAATTGGATCAATTTTGTTCTGTAAAAATTTCTTCATAGGGAAATAATTGATTACTATAATAGTTCAGTTGAAACGAAAAAATAATCAATTTGGTTGAAGTATTCAATCTTCATGATGTGCAAATAACTAATTCTCAAAATAAAATAATATAGAGATCTAAATTAATTATTCGATCGAGATGTATTCTTATACAAGTAACATTCTTTTAGAACAATAGATAGTTTTAGATTATTCCAACTGTAGATAGACAAGGATTCTAATAGTTTTATATCCGTTTCTCTTAAAGCATCTTGTGTATCAACTAAAATTTATTTGAATAGAGTAAAAGCTGATTATTTTCTTTTTTTCTGAGCAATTGTTTTAAATCATTATCTTTAGTAAAAAATCAAAATATTATTCGAAAATATTTATCAACGAAAAATTTAATTCATACCAATATATTGTTCACTAAGAGTACTATTAGAACCCGTGGTGGAAGTATATGCAGTTTGCCATTACGTTCGTTCAGTTCTGATTAATTCGGAGCTGCTAAAGCAGCTGTCTTTTTAGTTATTTGTTATTTCGATAAATGTTAGACATCTGAATCACATTTAGCATAAGATAAACATATTAGCTTATCTTTAAAAAAATGACACTTTACGGTGAGCATAAAGTACTTGTTAAATTTTGTATATCATTAAAAACAAAAAATGTTTGTTCACATATCTGAATATAATTTATAACAATAACAGCAAGAAATTATAATGTGATTTTGTTTTATTTTTCCATTTAAATTCCCTACTTAAAGTGTTTAATGGCGTGGAAAAACGTTTCTGTCGATGTGCTTACTGTTGCAGTGAATATCTATGAGAAATATATAGAACATCAATATTCTGTCCATTTGTACAATCATACTCAAGAGAATATAATATAATACTGTTTTTTCTTACCACCATTAGTTTGTATGGTATCATTTAAGAGCTTTGTAACCGAATATAATCAATGAGTACCATTGTTTTCGTCTATAAGACGAACTTCACAAAAACCATTAAAATATTTATGTTACATATTTAATACAAATAATCAGTAAATATTGATAAATATAAAACTGGCTGATCCATAATTATTGGCTTATGAAGAAAAGATGCCGTCAATACCCTTATTGGTTTTTGTTTAAGAGGTAATTATTGATCGTATGTTTTTTTAGTTCAAGGTTTGTTACATCGGCTTCGAAATGATCAAGGAATTTCCATAGATTGTTTTTTGACGAGACTTTGAAACATTAGTCTGAAGAGGAATATTCAGAGAAATATCCGTTGTTTTAATATTTAGCTTGTGATATAGGACACGTTTTAATCCAGATTTTTATAATTAATAAGTTTACCAAATTATAAAGCATGAAAAAAACGTAAGTCGTCACGAAAAACTTTCTATTGGATAGTCCATAAAGACTATGAGATTTGTTTGTGCTAGAGGTCGCATTCTATCATTTGGATTTCTTAAATTTGATACTTTGAATACGAGAAAAGATCAAAAACAAAGCTATGAGCAATTAGAAATCTTAGATTCAACATTCAATAGATAAATGTTTCGTCAGACTCTATCCGTATACTCTTTTTAAAATGATTCATCTATGAAATTTCATAGAGTTGAATAGTGTTAATCTAAAGAGTATGTGAACATATATCATACTATAATTCCGTATTGTATTTAAATTAACTTATAATTGAATATCGTAAGCACAATTGTACTGTTAAAAGTAGATTGAAAAGTTCCGACCTCGCTGAGTAAATCGATGATATCCATGAAAAATCTACACAATGTCCCAAAAAGTCAATGCGGAAGGTTTACGTAAATAACGCTTAGAACAGCTCAAGCAGTTTATATATATTTTTTTAATAAGATCATAGTATATTCTTTCGAGTTTTGTTAAACGTCAAATTCAAGTCATCTATCGTTATGAAAGGAAAATGCATGTCAGACTTGGCCTACAAACACTAGACATAGACTGTGCTAGGAATGGTTTTACGAAATCCGTATAATAGTAAGTAGATAACAATCTGAAAGGGCTCCAAAAATTACAGAAGAAAAAATTGACGAAGTTCATGATGTTTATGACAACGTGTCACTATCAAATATTTGGTTTGTTGTAATAGTCTGCTTCATCCCACAAACAGTAACAGACTGGATTATGACTTAATCTTAACGATGAAACCAAACAAGATGTAATTTGTTCAATAACTCTGTGAACAACGATCACAAGATCGAGTTGAGGTTCTCAAATTCTGATACTAATGTTAGAAAATATTAACAGTGAGAAGAGTTCTATTTTTATCCAAATGGTTTATCGTTCAATATGCAGTGAAAACCTCCCTATATACACATTTGTTTGAATTCAAAATCAGAGTCAATAACAGAAATTAATTAATTCGAAAACAAAACATTTTGTAGTATTTGTTTTTGAACACTCCGAAAAGAGTAGATTTATGTTAGACTTATCATCTGAAACAAAATATACTTCAATATTCATAAATGTAGTCGCAACAAGTTTTCAAGATTATTAGGAAGAATACTCTCGCAGAGCATAAATCAAATAGGTAAACAATTTTTTGTTTTATATTTATATTCTCCAAATTTCACTATTTCAAACAAAAAAGACTCGAAGACAATCCCATACTACATTGTTGAGATATAAATTTTGACATTCTTCCAAAGACTTTTGCATCGCTCATAAATGAACAAACAAATGGCAAATACCTATCATCAAAAATTAGACAAGTTCATTCGTCATTGATTAGATTGTAATGCAATTATTACAACTATTATTTTCATTGTCATTACGATCTTCCAAAAAGGTTATTATTCAGACTATCTTGCAATATGACATATGTATTACATTCTTCTATTGAATGTTTCGGCTTTTTCATCGGTGTTGTTAATGTGCTAGTATTTTTTTTTCTCTTTTCAATTGTTCAGTTAGTGAAGGAAATAATTCTCTTTATTTACCGTTAATAATGATTCGCAAAGTAGCTAAAGAACCGTTTCGCCATCGCCTCATCAACACCTAATACAACAATGGATGTTTACCTTTATGCATTTCTGAATCACGTGTAACAATTACCAATTCTTTTATTGCATAAGATCAAATAAACAACATTTAATACATACAAATAGGTTTCAAAAATATAATACAGAAATACATATGAAGATCAAATCGAATAACTACCATTTATTTTTTTCTACTAAACGTATAAGCAATGCTTCGTTTACTTATTGTAGATTTAATCGAGTAGGTCTGGAGTTGATTATGAGCCTATCAACACTATACTGGCGTTCAGCAGTAGTTGCAATTCCTGACAATGAATAAAATAGTCGAGCAAGTTTTTATAAGACAAGAGAAATGAATCGTTAAATCATACAACGTCTTGTAATTGTCTCGCTATCGAAAATCTTGTCTCCGCCGTGGCGACGTGTTCTAACACGAAAGATGAAATCGTAATTGGAATTCTGAAAGCATTACGAGAACCGGAATATTGGAATCGAAAAAAATTGTTCCTGAAGGAACACTGAAGTGCAGTGCAATGTTATAGTCATTTTACTAATCTTGAATGGATATATTCATCTTACATTTGTAGGATAAAGGAAGGAGGGCATAAAACGTCAAATCGGCCCATTCGTACTATTCCTTTTCAACCTCATTAAATCATACACCCACGGACAGAACATCTTGAAACTAACTTTTGGTACTAATTAGTGTCATGGAATTTTGATTGGATTTTGAAAGCTAAAAGCTATCGTCAAAGTAGCCTATTTATAATCATCTTTTTAATAATCAGTCCTGTCATGGTAAATTTAATTTCAGTATTATTAAATAAGACAATATAAAACTGNTTGACTTTGAAAAATATACGATTTTGTAGCTTTCTAAAAGGTCTATCAAATGAGTAAAGCTAGACTTTTGATCATTTCAATTTTTAAACTAAAATATTTGTTGAAAGATAAGTATGAATGATAATTATAATAAAAATGATAACAGTGTCTACCAGCATATCGAGTCTATATGTCAGAGAATTAAACAACCAATTAGTGATTTCTATATGATATTGAAGCTTCATCAAAGGGCTGTCAAATTCATCATTTCAGTTTTATATTGTCTTATTTAATAATACTGAAATTAAATTTACCATGACAGGACTGATTATTAAAAAAATGATTATAAATAGGCTACTTTGACGATAGCTTTTAGTTTTCAAAATCCAATCAAAATTCCATGACACTAATTAGTACCAAAATGTTAGTTTCAACATGTTCTGTCCGTGGGTGTATGATTTAATGAGGTTGAAAAGGAATAGTACGAATGGGTCGATTTGACGTTTTATGCACTTCCCTCGTTTATAAAATTTGTTTTTACAAGAGTTATATGTCTTTTGTTCGTCAAGATTTTTTTAGCAGATTTATCCTTTTAATACAATAAGATGAACCATATTTACTGTTTACAACTGGAGTTTTATAACAGTTCATATTATTAAAAGCTTTCATATTGGCAATCTTATTTTATGAAGTTTACTGTTTTCAATTTATTCTCTAATATGCTAGTTGCTTGAACTTATCTTTTTGACAGTTTTATTAAAGGATCTTCGATGTTCATCATTGGAAAATCAAATAGATGATTTATGGCTACTAAATAACTTGTGAAATATTGTTTGATAAGATTTAAGTAAATATGAATTGAATTCATTACATGATGTCAAATAAAAGTTTTTAATGTAGGAAAATGATCAACAGTATTCCAAAAAGGTTAAAATCAATCGTCCGAAAGCAAGGTCAATGCACCACAAAATTCGATTATTCATATACCAAATGTCACCCAAATCAAGTCACATATCATTTAGATATTTTATTCAAATAATGTTTCTTTTCTTAAATTTTTTCTCACAAACATTTATGAGATGAAAATGTTTATTCAAAATTAGTAAAATCACTATAATATTTGTACTAAAATTTATGCATTTCGAAGTATCGTTTTTTTTCAGATGATAGCTGTAATCTTCTTCTACAAAATTATTTATGTCAATCAATTAATCATATGTAGATTTGTCGCAGATATCATTGACTCACTGAGAGGAGTCGAAACTTTCCGATCGTCCTTTATGCTTTCGAGAAAACCAAGACTGAAATTTCATATTATTTTTATACGCATCAATTTCATATGTTTTGCATTGAATTAGTAATCATCATGAAATATCTTTTCAATAATTGTACATATTGTTATTGAATAACGTCAATTAAAATTTCATAATCATTGTTCATTATCTTGTCTGACAACAATATCAAGAACACATATTTGCATAGTTGAAAGATATGTCAACGATTGCTTTATTCGTGCTCTAACATATATAGTTGTCGCATGCATTCTCTTCATCCCCAACACTTCTACTCCTCTTCCATTCGATGATATGTCAATGAAGAAGAAAAAAAAAGAAGGGAGCGAGGACGTTTTTTTCCTCGTCTATTACTTCGTCTGACATGCTTGCATTTCTTCCTTCTGTAGTGTTCTTTTTCTGAGAGTGAGAGACCAATAAAAGCGTCACCACTATGACACAGTTTTCTACGAGAAAATTTTTTTTTTCTGAGTATTATACTTACTTATGTTCATCGTCACAGAGAACGCGAGAGAAAAAGGTGGAAGAAAAATGTTTGACATGAATGGAAAAAACCGCAATCATGCTGGGATTGTATGTTGAACAGTAAGAAAGATTTATTTAGATGCTTTTTATAATAACTGTTATACAAGTAATAATAATTTTCAATTCTTTTTTGTTATTTTGTTCAAAGTTATATACATTTGACAAGTATAATAACTCGCCGTGTTCATTATTACAAACTCTTATCAACGTTATTTCTCTGATGAGTGTTTATGTATGTGCATGAAACGTAAGTTATATTATACGTTAAGATTTATTGTTAAGCCTAGATTCGTTAAGACAAAATCAAATCGATCGGAAATAAATCAACTTCTGTTTATTGTTTTATATAAGAAAGAGACTGATAGAACTGAATTGATATTATGGTGAAAGTAATTTTATAGATTATGGCGATTAGTTTAGTACGTGATATATACCATACATAAATACCAATTTCTACTAATCAAATATATGTGGCAAAAAAATAACACAAGCAAGAATAGTACTACTAGATGACTGATTAACTTATTCTTCATTTATGTATTGTTTTTTACTGGATGTAAGCAATTATAGATGACGATTGATTTTATTTTTAGATATAGATTAATACTAATCGATTATCATCATGTCAGGATTGATATTGAGAGCTGCGAATGATTTTTCAGTTTTTTTTCTTGGTACATCTCGAAGTGACGATTCAACAGGTGATCGTCTTAGTTATCGATATACATGTGCTATACTCATTGTATTTGCTGTCATCGTATCTAATCGAGAATTTACTATGAAACGTATTCAATGTTGGGTAAAAAAATGTTGTTATATATAGATTCGAGAGAAATATACTTATAAAAACATTCTTTTTAGGTTCCAGCATTTTTTACAGGAAATTATGAAGATTATACAAATAATGTAAGTTTTCTTTGTATTTTAAATTATATCACTTCAATTTGAATACTAGGTATGTTGGGTTCGTAATACGTATTATATTGATGATCATAAGGAAATACCGGAAAATACTAATATACGTTATGAATCATCTATTCGTTACTATCAATGGATACCATTTATACTTTTATTTCAAGCATTTTTTTTCTTTGTACCATATGTTTTATGGAGAGCGTTATCTCAACGATCGGGTAGAATTATTAATACTTAAAAAATATTCTCAAGGTTTTTTCTTTATTTTTTATAAGGAATTGATGTTCGAGATATTGTTGAAGCTGCGACTAATTATAAAAAATCAACAAATGAAAAACAACGAAAAGAATTAATGACATATATGGTTTCTATTATCGATCAATATGTTGATGATCCACGTCGTCAATCGAATAATCGTGAAACTCTCTGGTGGAAAAAATGTTTTTTAGTATTTTTTCCATCATCTGGTCGTTATATGGGAGACTATTTAAGAAATTTATTTCTATTTATCAAAATAATCTATGGGATAAATGTTTTTGTACAAGTCTTACTTTTATCTTTTCTATTAGGGCAACCATTTTGGTCGTTAGGTTTTACAGTTCTTAGATTTTTATATGAAGGACGAGGTTGGGATTATCAGAGTCGATATTTTCCCAAAGTAACATTATGGTGAGAACATATTGAAAAATATTTCAACATAAAAATTCATTTTTTTCAAAGTGATTTTCAAATTCGCGAGGTAAATGCATTGCCTATTGCACATACATATACAGTTATGTGTGTTTTACCAGTTAATCTCTTTAATCAGGTTTAAATCATTTGTAAATTTCAATTATATGTGTCGTTTACTTTTATCTTATAGCAAATATTTACATTTTTATGGTTTTGGCTTGTGATTGTTATTTTTTTTACAATATATGATTTACTTATATGGATGTATCGATTATTTTTCCGACGAGAAATTCATTTAATAGGACGTTTGAAAGTCATGAATCGAGAATTAGTAGAAAAATGGCCATTTAACGATTTATGTGCAAATCACATTAATGAAGAAGAAAATGAACATATGATGAAAGGTAGAAAATATATTAAAGAATAAATGTAAATCAAAAATCTTAAACGAGAATATAACGAAATGAAGATAAATATTTAACAATTAATTTCTATTCTAGATCGAGATATGAAATCAATAGTATATTTTCTCCGTCTTGTAATAAATGTTATAGTAATACCTATGAGAATTTTCTGAACTAGAAACGTATCATTAAAATGAGCCATTTGTTTAATGTCCTTAGTCGAAGAAAACAAAACTCTTGAAATAATTGATAAATCTAGCATAAATGCTGAAGTTTTGTTATATTAGCAAAGTCTTCGGAATTATTCTCAACTTTATTATGACGAAGTTGTTGCTTGCAACAATCCATTTTAGATAATTGTTTCCTAAAATATCGTCTTGTTTTGATAATAAACAGTGTTTTATCTGGAACGGTAGAAAAGCTTTCAAAAGTTGATGATTTTTTTAGCGAAAAATCTCATACTCGTTTTCAGTGAAATAATTCTATGGAATTTGTAAATACTAGTCTCACAATCTACTAAAAAGATTGAGAAGATTTGCTAATAATAAAAGATCATTTCTTTTGTCTTTTCTTCAGCCACATAATAACAAATCGTATTATTCTCTGTTGTTCTAATAGAAGAAAGAAATCTAATCGATTGATCACATATTCTGATATTTTAGTTCAAAGTCGTGATGAATCTACTGTCACTGGAGATCAAGTCTATACTTTAAGTGATGGACGAAAAATTCATCATCAATCAAGGATGTTTATTGTACCTCGTATTTATTACAAGAATAATCGAACAATATTTGATTTTTTTAATATAGAATATTTAGAACCTGATGGATATTTTATTTTGCGAATTATTGGTACGAATGCTAGGTAATAATTTAATCAATGAATATTTCAATTCAGAAGCAAATTTCTCTTTTTTTTTAATTTAGTGATTTTGTTGCAACTAGAGTTCTTCATCAGTTATATGAATTATGTTGCGAAAAACGATTTCGTCCTTATAAAGTACCACCAGAAAAACCGGTATCTCGAGCAACCCTTTATAAATACATGATTATTCCTCAAGAAACTCCAGTACCAGAACAACCAGAATTAGAACAACCAACAATACCCATTGATGAACCCATACGAATGACTAATTCATTTGCTCCACCTCTTTTACCTCGTTCATTACGAAAGGATGGTCAATCATCAGAAACAAAACAAGAAACATCACGTAATTCATCTCATACTGAACATGAAACTCGATTATCATCTGATAAATTTTAATTTTTAGAAGATACTAAAACACAACAGCAATTATCAAGACGCTCTCAATCTCACCCATCACATGACGAAGAACAGTAAAATGAAAATACAATGTGATATTTCTTATTTGACTATATTTCGTGCTTTTTTCATGTACAATAATAGATTTCAGGCAATAAATACAAATTTGTGTTGTTCATGAAAGATTACTTTCATTTGAATTTTGAAACATAGCATTTTTAAGAGCTATCCATTCCAGAGATGGAACCGGTCTGAAATTTTCACAACCGGTACCGGTACCGGTCTGAAAAGTTCAGACCGGACCGGACCGGCCGGTCTACCGGTTGAACCGGTCTACCGGCGATCGACCGGTCTACCGGCAATCGACCGGTCTACCGGCATTCGACCGGTCTACCGGCGATCGACCGGTCTACCGGCAGTTGACCGGTCTACCGGCGATCGACCGGTCTACCGGCAGTTGACCGGTCTACCGGCGATCGACCGGTCTACCGGCGATCGACCGGTCTACCGGCAGACCGGCGGGTCGAAAACTCGTACCGGTACATACCGACTGATCCGACATTTCTTTTTTAATTCCATGGAACAAAAGAAAAGAATAATAACGATATAAAAGCGATCATGTACAATCCTAACGACATGATAATATTCGAACAAATAGAAGTTTTCATATAACTATATATAATAAAAGCAGGACAGTAAACAAGACAGACCAGTCATCGACC